TTTAATTGCGTGGTGGGAACAAGCTTCCATGTTTTCTTGCAAAACATAATCTTTGTTTTATAAACAACTTTTACAAAAATGTCAAATGTTAAAATACAACACTTGTGACAACTTGCCCCGATGTTAATGTGACTGCGCACGGGACAGTTTTTGTAAGGATTTATCGCTCTTTTGCTATTTTATTGACTTTAAAGACCTTCAGAGACGAATTATGGCAGATCATTTAAGGAAAAAAGTTTATGAAGCATATGCGGGTCATGATGACCATAAAATAATGTAGAATTCTGAGTTTATATCTCCAAAATGTGAGATAAAATTCTTTTTTTATTTTTTTTCGTGGTGGGAACAAGCTTCCATATTTTCGTGCAAAACATAATCTTTGTTTTGTAAACAACTTTTTATCTTCTGGAATACTGTAAACCTTCAGCACCCCAGTATAGGGAAGACCGGGGCTAGTTGTCACACTCTTTACTAGTGAATATTTCTTTATTTTATTACTAAATTATCAAACTGGGAACCTGCTGTATACTGATATTGAGAAATATATATTTTTATTGTTAAAATATCGAACATGCTTCCACAATATCTCTATTTATTTACTTATTTATCATCCAAATTAGGAAGATGAAACAAAAATGTAGCTAAACGTTCAAATGTAAAATACATATAACACTTGTGACAACTTGCCCCATTATTAATGTGACAGCAAGCAGGACCGTTTTTGTAAGGATTTATCACTCTTTTGCTATTGTATTGTCTCTAGAGACCTTCAGAGACGAATTATGGCAGATCATTTAAGGGTAAGCGTTTATGACGCATATGCGAGTCATGCTGACCAATAAGTAAAAATAATGTGGCGTCTGCGCGCAGCTGACTGAAGGCGGAGGATACTCAGACGCTCGCGGCTCGCGTAGTGATCGCGTCGTTACCATGGCAGCAGAGTTAGTAAACTCCCCCGTTGCCATCGGTTATCGATCCGCGGAAGAACCGCAAGTCCTTCGGCTTGACGCTCCGTGAGGCGGCGCGCGCGTTACCGGGAGACCGACGCGCCAGCTGTTCTAGAATCGATCAGGACGCGTTATGGGGACGTTCGGGAGCGCCGCGGCCGGCCTGGATGAGGAAGAGGAAGAGGAGGAGGAGGAGGAGAAGCGCAGGGAAGTTGAGCGTCTTCCTCCACTGCTCGAGGACGAGGTGAGTTTGATTGATGATTGATTGATTGACAGGTGATTGACAGTCTCTCACGAGGACATTCTGTAGAAATGCTGATATCACAAATGTTTTTTTATTAATATAACATTCCACGAATCCCTAAATTACCAAAAAGTACCAGTATATACACACACACACACACACACACACACACACACACACA